TTCCTGGAACCACCAGGGTAGAAGGAGAGAACTGAGTTCCATAAATTGTCCTTTGACCCCATTCTGCTGTAACATGCATGTCTCAACACACACACACACACACACACACACACAGGCATGCACATGCATACACGCACCTGTGTGTGTTTATGTGTGTATGCACGTATGTGTGTAAAAAATTTTTAAATAACACATACAAGTACTTCTCAGAGTTGTTATGACCAAAAGTATGTTTCCAAAAGTTATGTTAGTTTCTGAATGTTGTAATTATATTTATTTTCCCTTTGAGTCATTTACATGGGAAGTGTCTATTTTAGAAGCCATTATTTTACATATAAGTTGATCTTATTGTTGAAGTCAATAAAATATAAAGATGCTAGGCTCCCCAAGATATTTAAGTAAGAATTCATAACATTGCATTTTATTACATTTTTTTATTTTATTTTGAAGACAGGACTTCAGGGATAATGATATAGAGATGAGTCTACAATGGAAGATCCTTGAAATTCAGTGTAATGTTGTAAAATCCTCTTGAAATGTCATTTAAAATTCACCTTAATTTTGTTTGGATTTGAAGTTGTTGGTAAAGTCATTACCAATATCCAGAGCCCTGTAATCCAACTTTTACACCCTTGGCACTCTGTGAGCTGTCAGTTCCCTCTGGAATCACTAATTGTCTCCTAGATGTTTCTATCCCCTGCAGCCATTGAAGGCTGCCATCGGGAAGACACATTCTCTGGTGGTTTTAGCCAAGAACAGAATCTGTCAGAAGCTTGTACCTGACTCTGCTTTTGCTACTGACTCCAGATCACCGCAGGCAAATCTTATAAACCATCTATTAGCTGTTTCTCCTGTTTTAAAATAGAGCTGCATTTGATATCATATTCTATCTCGCTGAGAGACAAAATAAGACATAAATATCACCAAATAAAACTTGCATTCTACAGTTTGCATCTTTATTGTTGCCATCCTTAGTTTGTTCCTTTAGCCTAAGGAAACTGGAACAACACCGGGGAAATTTTAAGAGACAATAGTAGTTGAGTCACAGACACATTCTAGACTGTCTGGTTATAAACCTGGTTCTGTTACTAACTAAATGTGATCTGGGATAAATTTTTCTATACTTATATTTCTTTCCCTACAAAAACATCAAGTTACATAACATATAACATATATACTTAACATGTACCATTTCTTGAGCCGAGAAAAAAAATGTAGCTATTATTAGCAAACAGTTTGCCTTCATTTTATAAGATATATTTACAAGCTTATTTTCTATTCCAAATAAAAAAAAAAAAAACAAAATAAAACAGTCTTAAATTTGGATGTTGGGGGGGGCTGTGTATAAACAGGTCCATTTTCAACAGATGAAGAGAAAACAATGCCTTGTTTAGTCTTAGCAATAACTTACTCAGAACAGGATCTTGTATGTTGTTTTATATTTAGATTTGATTATTGATGGAAGCCTCATTAAACATGGTTGGTATTTAGCATACTACTTACAATAAAGCCTACATAAGTAAGGATTCACAGCGGTTTTCCATGTGTTAATTTCTATTTGTGATGGGCAACTACAGTCCAATAGGAACAGATTTAAAATAATTACATTTCATTTGGACTCTTGTCAGCCACAAGTTAGCTCAGCACAATTTAATGGAAAAGTGCATTGCCTCTTGGACTTAATGAGGCCACATTTGATAAGAGACTCTGGTGGGATCTGGAATCATAACAGTAATGAAATCCAAGGTTTGGGCTCTTGGTTCATTAGGCAACAAGACTGGCTCTTTGAGTGTACTCATTCCCTAAGAGAAAGAAGCCAACTAGTTGCAATTTTTAAAACCTGTTTTTAAATCTAGGAAATGACTGGGCTTTTGTCTTTCAAATATTAAAGTTTCGCAATAGCTGTGGCTCTAAGTTTTTAGGAGTTCGTATGTTGTGATCAATGTTGCTCTTCACACAGCCCTGTGTGGCTTTAACCATCGTTTAACTGTTCCAGTCACTGATGTGGACTGAAAACTACAAAGGAAACGTACTCACCAGTGTGAAGGAGTTAACGAGAGCCACAGACAAAACCGAGTGCGCAGTTAGTAATTACTGATCACGTCCTAGTCGTGACGTTTAGGATGAACATTCAATGATAACTTGATAGGGCTAAGAGATTGGCCCTTGCTGCAAAGGACGCCTCTGAACTGTGAAGAACCCAGGAATATCAATTCCCAAAACTATTCTCTCAGCCTGATGATACTCACTCAAGTCCCAGCCATGCCAAAGGCAGCAATACGGGCAACACTACATAGTCTCCGGGGAGTGAGAAAATAAAGTGTTCTGAACATAATGCTTCTCTCCATTCTCCAATATTTGGACAACCACTTTGTGCACATCTGAGGAACTCACAATTTAACTAGGTCAGAGAGTTTTGGTATTTGAAAGAAGTAACTTGACAATAGTCATCATGTTCTTTTCAATTTCCTTTAAGACAGAAAGTTCCTGCTCAGTGAATATTTCCTTAAAGAAATAGTGCAGCTCCACAGACAGCCTTTTGAGGCAATGCCAGGCACAGATCACAAGCAATGTGGTTTTTGGCAGTCCTGGCCACAGAGAATACAGTGACGACCATAAAGCTGAGCTTGTTTGCTTGTTTCTAAAATAGATTATTGTTTGATATGTCACTTTACAAGGGTCAATTTCAACTTCTTTTCCGAAATCTGGGGGAATTTCAGTAATCATGCCTTTTCTTTAGATCACTCATTCATTTATAATCTGTATGTTTTTCTGCAGTTTCCGGATATGCATTTCTGAATGAGATATGCAGGCAAACATGAATCTAATAAAGCTTAACCTTCAGGGCTCCTGGCTTAGAGAGAAGTCCGGGCATGAGTCATAATGTATCCTCAAGTAATATTTTTCTATAATCTGATAAAGAAACTACTTTAAGGACAATTAGCCAAAACCATTTTGCCTTTCATATGTTTGAACAGCTACCTAGGCATACACTGAGTTAGCAAAAGTTATATTAATTAGACTTCAAAAGCAAATAATAGTTACTTCCCTAGAGAACCATGTCATCATTAAACATCTTAGTCTAGTATCCAGGAATATTCTACTTTCTGATACGTCAGCGCATCTACAATGGCCACACTAACAATTAACAAGGCTAAGGTTACTTTGTATTATGAAATTTCTTTGGCTGTAGTAACAGAACAAGTGAGCAGAAGAAATGCAAGATTCAAGATGTATAGTCAGATGTCATCATCACTGCCACTGTCATGGCTGCTTTGTCATCCTTGACACTATTTTTGTCATTATTATTGAACAAGAAATGATGATAGCCTAAATCCTCATCAACAGAGCTTGCATGACAACTTACTGAAAGAAAGATAATCATATGAAGACAAAGAAGAAAATTATGAGTTAATTTGAGACTAATGAGCAGTAAAGTAGGAAACTAGAAGACAAACTTTTTACTTACTTAGTCTGTGTTTAACTGTTATAATGATACCACACTTAGATGCTAAAATTTGTTGTTTTGTGGTTTTGTATCTATTGGTGTTATTTCGCTTACTTGCTTTCTTCTTAGATGGGGACTTATTTGATAGCCTAGGCTAGCCTGGGGTCCCTAGCTATCATCTCGCACATTCTCTAGGCTTCTAGGATTATAGGTGTAAACCACCATTTATAGACCAATATATTTAAAACAGTAACTAAGAAAGCTACTACAACTAACCCATAGAGGTGACCACAAATGTATGAAAAGAGGCTCCAGAAACACCAGGGAAGGATGGCCCCATCTGGTTTCAATAATCACTTGATGCAACCTACTTTCTTTGTGTTTGCAATTTTCTCCATTTTCTGCATGTTTCCCAAACTCAATCTCCCTTTGGCATGAGTGAGAATAACATACGTTAATGTGCTCACTTTTGTAAAGTAAAAGAACTGAAGGGCAGGGTTATTTCTCTGAATATGCTTGGTAAGGCTAACACGTCAATCTTCCTGCCACTTGCATCTCTAATTCATTACAGCCAAGTGAAGAGTCCTGTGAACATGAAAAAGAAGTTTCCAGTTCATACACCAAACCTAAAGCAAGTTTTCAAAGTACCTAATTGTTGATATTTTCATTACCTAGAATCAAAATATATCTGGCCTTTTGTTACAACCTTTAGGGCAAATCAAAAGTGCAGCAGCTGCTCTCCCTACCTACCGTACATATTTATCCCATATACAAAAGTGACTTCTTTGTTCATCAACATAATTAAGCCCAGATACTGACTTCCTATACCAGACTGTGGCCAGGAGCTAACTTGAAAAAGACTTTGATGTAATTGTGTTAAGGGTTGACTGTGCTCAGTACCATGGAATGAGTAAGAAAAAAATGATACCAAAAGGGACACATGTATTCTCCACTGGATGTTAATATTCTAACTGAAATCCAAATACTTACTATTCATAGTATACATTTTAATCATGAAAATTCTCAATATTATGACAATCAAATATTTCTTTTAAGTATTAAACAACTGGTTGACCCCTTAGATCACAATATTCCCAAGGGTAATACAGTATATTTTTAAATCGTAAAGAAGAAAACCACCCGGAGGCTAATATTTTACTTTATTTTAATAATGGTGCAATAAGTTCTCTATGTGTGTATATCCCTCCAGTAAAATCCTACATATAAGCTTTTGATAAAGTGTAAATTATTATTTGAAACTTGCCTCTGTAAAAAAAAATAATGATAATCTTGGCAGTATAAACAACCAGATCTTGTACTGTAGACATGAAGTACTGTTATATACGAGATCAGGTAGTTGCTCAACATTTTTATTAAGTGATGAAAAATAGTGACCCCCAAATGACAAAGTATTCCAGAGACAAAGTGAGTACTGGAACTCAAAGCTTCAGCCCTCTCCAGCCCTTCCTGCTCAACATGCTGCCTCCATTAGACCAGATGTTCTTTGTGGTGGAGGAAGAGCTCTTCAAAAATAGTCCTCTTTATTTTCTAGGCATAATGGTCTTAAAGAGATGTTTCCCATGTTGCTGTTGGATAATGAGTTGTTCATCTATTGAACTCATACGCTTATTTCCTACTGTATAAAAACAGATGCCATTCCTTCAGCATAGGAGCAAAGAGAAGCAGGTAAGGTATCCATTAAGCAATGATTCTGCTGTGGTGAGGTTTAACTGAAGTGATCAAATGAATTTCTACATTCAAAGCAAAGAAATAAAAGAGGATACAGCCTTCCATCAAGAGGACATTGTACATATTTACATTTCACTAAGGTAATGTCTGCACAGTTTTTCTTGACTTTTGAAATATTCACAAGATTAATTGTTCATGTTGAGCACACCTATACTCTGCTTTACAAGTGCTGGAAACCACCCTTTATACCATGGCATAATGATTCACTTAGAGAACTAACAAGCACTGTGGTACTGAGTAATAACATTTTAAGTACTGCAATAAAATTTGTATAAATAAGACAGCTATAAAAATCTAAATCCTGCCATCCTATGCCTTAGTGCATTCTACACAAGGGTGTTACATTGCATGCCCAGCTAAACCACTCCTTTGTTTACAGCTTATTCATGGGATGTCTTCAGACCGTGGTTCATATGCAAAGTATCTTCTCACATACAAATCCTCATGACTCTTCTCAGAAATCCAGGATCTATATCCTCTCACGGTTAAGCAGAGATCTTCAACTAGTGGACATTCAGCAGGACTGAAAGACATTTTGATTTTCACAGCTAGGATAGGTGGATGATCCTGGAAACCAGGGATCAGAGGCCAAAGATTCTGCTAAAATGTGGACAATGCATAGGAGATCTTACACAATAAAAGACTTTGCACACCAAAATATCCACAGCAAATGTCTAAAGTAACCATTTCTAAAGTAACCATTTCTAGGAGTTCTTCACTGTAAGGTATAGTTTTAAGTCACTTAACCCTGACAAATGCATGTTTTAATGGCCCTACTCCTGTGACTGCCTATGAAATTTTCTTTGGCTGCAGATACAGCAATGAAACTCCTTAGTTAAAGAAAATGGAGACTTCGGTCTCTGTAGTTTACCTTTTTTACTAATTAACTAAGTGAACTCAGGTAAGTCACTTAACTTCTCACAAGCTCTGGTGTTTTTTATCAAAAACTGAGAGAACCAAACTAAGCTAATTCTAGAGATCCTTTCCAATTTTCCAGTTCTACTGTTCAAATGAGAAGTGAAATCACAAGTGTAGACATTTTTTAATCAAATAATTGGCTATGCAACCACTTACATTATTAAAACCTAACTAAAGAGAACAGAGACTAGAAGTTTAAATGTCAATTAGCTGATCAGTATTTATTATTTTCCTATTAATAGACACAAAATGTTCAACTGCACTCTCATAAATTGATCGGCATCTGTTATCTACTAAGCATTCTGCCTATTGATGTAAAGAGAGATGACATAGTGTGTATCCAAATGCACTGAAATCTAACAAGATCTGAGCTTTTCCCCCATCATTAGATGAAAATTGTTACATCATGATATCCTTAAGATCTTTAAGCAAATACCAATTCCTGAGCCTTAATCTTAATAAATATGAAGTTTTGGGAATTTGACCCTGCACTTGTATTGTTACATCATCCCCAATTTAGTATTATATACTATGGTTAAATTGTTAAACTTAAAAATTCATGAATAACAACCTGCTTATAATATTGTAGTCTTGATTATATATTAAATCCTGTGCAGTAAATACCTCAACATAACTGGCAGATCACAACTATGGAAAGACTACAGTTGAAAAATGGAGCTTGAATGGATGAGATTTGGAAAGTAAAATAGAACTGGGAAAAGCATTCTGTGGTTTCAGCATAAAAAAGGCACAAGATAGTAGTTGAGATACAACTAGACACCAGTGCAATCTCATAGCAGTATTTTTGCAAAGTATGGAATGGTAAAAATATCAGCTACCTATATATATAATATAATTAGTAAACTAATTAGAAAACTTTACCCCAAAAGATACCTATCGTAGGGGGAACCATTAAGTCTAAAATACTTATATCTTTTGTTGTTCTCAACCTTGGTCAGCAAAAGCATTTTTCCTCAGTGAGAAGTGATTAATATGGAGAATAATAATTGATCAGAGTATAAAGAATAAGTGACTCTTACTACTTAGCCATAGATGGAACATACGTACCCTAGGCTTGGGGAAATCTCAAGGAAGGGGAGGTGGAAAGAATACAAGAGCTAGAGTTTGGAGAGCAATGTTGTGAAACACTTTTTGGGGCCTCACATGTCTTCTGCACAGCAATGCATAGAAGCTATCATTACCTGTACAGGGTCTGCCAAGGTCAAGCCAATTAAATTTTCAATATGGATAGGAGAAGATCTCCTAAGGCCCCACCACTAGATGAGAAGCTATTGTTAGTTGATGGATTCCTAGAAAGGAAGAATTACTTTTCTTTGGGGGTGTAGCCACTGGTATGATGCCATGCTTCACTAAATGGCCCAATGCCTGGACACATAAACACAACACTAGCTGGACTCAATGGGTTATAAAATAATGTTTTTTTAAAAATGAAGTTGGGAGGGAAATGTGTTTGAGACACAGATACAACAAACATACACTGGATACATGTATGACTTTCTTTCTTTTTAATTGAAAATAGATTCTTTTATACAATATATCCCAACCACAGTTTCCCATCTCTCTACTCCTCCTAGTTCTATGTACCACCTCCTGTCTCCCCCAGATCCACTCTCCTTCTGTTTCCTTTTCAGAAAAGAACAGGCCTCCAAGACATGAAAGCCAAACAGGACAAACCAGGACAAAACAAAATGTCATCATATCGAGGATGGACAAGAAAACCCAATAGAAGGAAAGGAGTCTTCAAGAGCAAGCAAAAGAGTCAGAGGCACAACCCCCAGACAGAGTTACCAATTTAATAGGCTGGCAAGCCAAGGGTGGGTAAGATTCTGCACAGAGCCTTACCAACCTAAGACATAAGTGCATTGCCTTTGATAATGTGCATTCCATGATTTGTAAGGAAGACATTTTTGTTAGAATGACCTAAGACAGACTCAGTCTTGTTTGTGAAATAAATAAAGGGAAAATGTTGAAAGCTTTTGGTGTTGCTTGGCAGGAATCTGACATTAGCAAAGGACAAAGAAATGGGCTTCAGGCAAGAATCTGACATTAGGCTAGAACAAAGAAGTAGGCTTCAGGCATGAAGATGATTTTGGGCTAGGATAGGGAAGTAGGCTCAGATTTTTTGGTCATCCTGATAAGCCCTTAGAAACACAGGATCACAGGATTGATCACGGGACTTGCATGTTCTTTGACTATTTGTGTTTATTGTCTTGCTTGTTCCTTGACTATTTGCATCTATTGTATTGCTATTTCCTCAACCTAGAACTGACCTTAATACATGAATGTAATTAAAATGATACAAAAGCAAAAAGGAGGAAGAGGGTGGGATAAGGGGTTTCTGGGGCTGGAAATGGGAAAGGGGGGTAACATTTGAAAAGTACATAAATAAAATGTCCAATAGATAAAAAAAGAGTCAGAGACACACCACTGTTAGGAGTCTCATAAAACCACCAAGCTAACAGCCATGATATATAAGCAGAGGTCCTGGTGCAGACAGCTGAAGACTCCATGCTTACCTTCCAGTCCCCGAGAGCTCATATGAGCCAAGCTTAATTGATTGGGCCATGCTTTTCAGGTATCCTCCATCCCTCTAACTCCTACAATCTTTCCTCCTCATCTTCTATGGGAGGTTCCCCTATCTTGGAGGGAGGGACCTGATGGAGACCTCTAATTTAGCCTCTCTGCATTACGTCTGGTTGTGGGTCTCTGCAACTGCTCCCATCTGCGGCCAGAGGAAACAATTCGAAGGATGACTTGACAAGGCATCAATTTTCAAAGAACAGATTTAAACGTCATTTTAAAATATATGTCTGGATTAAATTTGTTTTGTTAGTTTTGAGACTGTATATGCAATGTAAAAATAAAATGAGGGCCAGCAAGACACCCGTGATGGCTATTATACATTGTTAGGTTTTTAAAATAATTTTAAAAATTCAAATAAATAAAAATATTACCCACCAAAATTAAACAGACCCAACGTCTGTATAATCTATTGAATGAATACAGAGTGAGAACTGGCATTCAAAACAAAGCTGTAGAGCTTAAATTTTATACTTTCAGAATCATATATATTTATACACTCATGCAAAAGGAAAATCCTGGGAAGGGGGAACTTCACTTGAGAAATTGTCTCCAACAGGAGGATCTTTGAGCTTATCTGTGATGTGTTTTCTTGATTACCAATTGATGTAGAAGGGCCCAGCCTACTACAAATGCTGTCATCCCTGGATAGATAGGCCTGGACTACATAAGGATAGCAGAACGTGCCGTTGGGAACAAGCCAGCAAGCAATGTTCCTCTACAATCGGTGCTTCAGTTCCTATATTCAGCTTCTTGCTATCCAGGCTATAATCTGTAAGCTGCAATAAATGTTTTCCTTCCCAAAGAATTTCTGGTAATCTATCACAGCAACAGAAATGTAACTAGAACAATGGTCACCAAGATTGTCTCCCAAGAATTAACATGGTGAAAGAATTCTTTAAGAACTGTCTTCTGCAAGTTTTTTTCTGTTTTGCCTTACACACACACACACACACACACACACACACACACATACACATTTAAGAATATACAAATATAATAAAAATTTTAAACAATGAAAATATGTAGTAATTCCACAGGTCAGTCTCCTAATTGATTGATCAAGAGCAATTTTTCTTTGCTGAATGCATCTTATGTCCAGTTTTTTCTGAGTAAAATAATATATATATATAATTATACTATTTTATTAGTCATTTTTATATACTTTAACATCAGGTTTTTCCCTTCTGATATAGAAATGGTTTCCTCCTAAATTCAAAGGATATTTTTACTTGAATTGTTGCCAAGCAAATTTGAATTTATTTATGGAGGACTTCATTGGTTTTAAACTTATTTCCATCATTAAAGGATAGTACAGGTACCAGTGAGATGGCTCAACAGGTCAAACCACTAGCCATATACGTGAAATCAATCCCTGGAGTCCAAGGTAGCTCCTAACTGCTGTTCTCTAATTTCCACATATCCCCTGTGATATATACACACAGCCATGTATGTACCATGTACACAAGCACACCCACATGCATACACATACAAACAAACAAACAAATAATATTTAAAGAATATCAACTTAACAGGATCTGGAATCTAGGAGAAAATTCTCTGGAAAATCCTATGAGGGATTATTTGGATAGGTTAATTGGGATATTAAAGAGCCACCCTAAAAGTGAACCACCACATTACCTAAGTTGGTTCTTCAACTGCATATAAAGAACATCCATGTCTTTATTTTACCTGATCAGATGCAATGTGACCAGTTGTTTCAAACTCCTACCATTTTTTTTCTCTACACTCTCTCAGCTGCAACCCCTCACTCAAAAATCCACCAGGCTTCACATAAATTCCCTCCCTGTAGACTGGAAATTCTCTTGATGCAATAAGCTTGGGAAATAGCAAGACTAAAGTTGGTTCCCTATTCTCAGGGGTCACGCACATTGCTGTCTACTATCCTATGTCTTCAAACTTCTGTGACATTTTATCAGTTTGTCGCTGCTTCGTGTTGCCACTTAATTCCACTTTTATCCAAAGAAGCAGTTCTAGTTTAAGTGGATTACTTTATAATATGAGTTTGTTTGATGTGACGCCAGTAGATAAGAGGTACAGGCCTCATGTGGGAATATCAGCTTCCATTACAATGATAAAAGGAATACATTAGCTTTACAATCTATTTCTCAATAAAGTCTTAAAAGAATCCACCTGAAGAATATTTCTACATTCATGTACTACTTCCCTTGGATTTTTAAAAGACTAAGTCCACTAGTACTAGAAACTATTTTGAATATCCAAAGCAGAAGTGAGTTATTTTACCAGATGATTTCTCAGACATTTCTATGACTACACAGTGACAGCACTTATTTTTTCCCCCAAACTGATAACATATATTGATTTTTAAGATTACAGAAACTGTTAATGAATGAGTGTCATCTTTCAAGAATTAATAAAAGTAGGAAATACTCAGTTTCTTTGTTCTATAAGCTAAAAGTATAGCAGTAGAATATTTTCTTGGGTTATAACCACCTACTTTGAAAACTTTATAATTGATATTTTTATTGAAGGCATTTTTGGTAATTTCACAAATGCAAGTTTGTTGATGACTTATTCAACATGTGCTTTATTTCCAATATTAATAACATCTTGTTTATATATAAATGCCATAAAAATTCTATTGTCCATTTCTACATTTTACAGTCAGACCAATACATACTATGTGGAAGTGCAGTTCCATAAGCAATATAAAAATCTAATAAGCACTCTGACAAATAAAGTATTCATACAGATTTTACTGGTACTCATATTTACCTCATTTAGGAAAGATAAAAAGATAAATATTTGTACATATTTACATTTTATAATCCCTATCACCTTTCTGTTTTTTTTTTAATCAAAGTGACCACTGTTTTAAGTCAGTTTGTAAGTCATAGAAGAGGAGCCAGCATCCTCCACAGAGCACCCCTCACTCCCAAGACCTTTATCATCATCTTTAACTCACCTGCCTTTCCCTACTGGCTTTTGTGTTTCTGAATACAAGTGCTGCTCTTTAGAATAAAGCGTAGGTGAGATGAGCCATTTAGCTGTGCACCTTCATCCTGATCGTCTGGTTTTCTACCCATGCATGTTGGTTTTTTAAGAAGATTTAAGTTACAATCCTTGGTTACATGGTGTCTCTTGTTTATATATTTGTCTGAAATACTGTTCACTGTTGAGATAAAGGATTTGTGCTATGATAACATCTATTTAATTTGTTATGTTTTCTTAGATTCACATGAGTTCCTAATAACTTTAAATATTTCCATATTTTGCTTTTCAGACCTCCGAACACATTGGGCAATGTATCCGTTTTAACTCTTTTCCACAGACTCCCCTTCAATAACCTTTTCCTTTTTGTTCAAATCTATGGGAGTTAGTGGTTGGGCCTTCAGTATTTCTTTCATCTCTGGACACTAAACTAGAGAGTTCTGACAGTGTTTGCCAGGGAAACATTTGAATCGATACTTTTGCCTGACCAGGCTGCTGGATTCAGACCATCTTCTAAAAGTCCATATGACTGCTGCAGTGATTCAGGAACATAAAACTCTTTTGTCACTGGAGAATGAGGGGAAACAATTTGGGTAGATGCTCTTTATTGACTTTATTCATGTCTCAAATACAGCCAAGCAGTTGGCATGCGTTATATCTGCTGTATGAGTCTGCATCATTGAAGCTGGAACAAATTATTACTCTCCCTGCTTACAAATGATGGCATGGAGATACATAAATAATGTGTAATTTTCCCACTCTTGCACAGGTAGATATTAACCAAGCATAGATTCAATCCCAGAGTGACTCCTACCCCAAGATATATTCATCACTACTTCGTGCATCATCTATACATTGTAAGAAGAAGCATGGTTCAGCTCCACTTTCTGGGAAGAAAATCAGAATGCAAAACTGAAAAATAAGTGGAAGTGATTTTGGTATTTGCAAAAACAAGTTAGTACTAGTCCTGGCCCTTCCTAGTCAAAAAAGTCATGTTACCTGAAATATGATAACTATTGTGAACCAATGGCTACTGGATGTTTATTCCTAACAAGATATGTTAATTTTCTCATTGCTATTACAAAAAAAAAAAAAATCCCACTAAAGCAGCTTAAGGGAGAAAGGATTTGTTCTGGCTGATCACTTAAAGGAATAACACATATCACAACAGAGAAGACATGACAGCTGGCATCACTGGTAGCTCTGTGTCCATTCAAAAA